ACCCGGGCAAAATTCAAAATTTCCTACCAACTGAAAATATTAGGTGTGTCCCGCGCGCTCATATGACCTTATGCAGTTGCGAGCGCCGTAAAACACTTTACAAAAAACATTTCTTTTCCAAATGAAACGTGTCTGTTCTTATGCTGAATTCTGATTAAGTTTTGAGCTCTTAGTAAAGAGATGCACATCGACGCAATAGCTGTTATTCAGTGTTAGTGTTAGGCAAAGCAAGATAGACAAGTAGATACCACGGAGAGAAATATGACCCACCATAGTGGTACCTTCCAGCCACTCGAAGTTCTCATATTATTGCCTCGCCGTATACAGACTGCAAGTTAGCGATGGACGGCCACGCCAAGCATCATTGCCTCGGTTTGTGGCCGTGAAGGACGTTTTTATGGGTCTTGTTCCTTCTCGTCCGTGTTCAATGTGACGTGGCCCTGAGCTGTCCGTGGGTGCTAACATGACAGGCTCGTGTCCCAGGCGCTGTAAAGCCCCCCATCTCTGAGTTATTAAGGCTGCCTGTTCTTTGTGGCTGCACAGTCAGGAAGGAAAAAAAGAGAACTAACCGACTAAAGACTACTTGTTTTTCGTCGTCTTAGTTTTGCTGAAACAATGTCCTCCCTAAACTGACAATCGTATTGATGAACACGAATTGGGTTGGTGTACAGCGTGGGTCTTTTGTGTGTAAGTTTAGCACTCCCCATCTCCTTCTTTAAAAAAAAAAATTTGTTGCCGTATTAGAAGCATCGTAGACAACTTAACGGTCCGTTTGCCGTTGCACTTAAAGAAAAGTCTTAAGATGTTTCAAATGACACCTGTACAAGTGATGCTAATGGTGGAAAAAAATGCATACATATTTTTATAGACATGTTGAAAACGAAAAAAAATGGTATCGTTGTTTCTTCATTACTGTTGGCAAGCATCCCAAACCGTCACTTGGAGCAGTTCCATAAAACAGTTGCTTTCATGATGTTATGATGATGAAGTTAACGCTTATACAGATAAACCAACGTGTGCACTGATTCCGTTTATTTGATATCGTACAGATTGATCGTTAGTGGTTGGTGGGTGCTCTGTCGTGGTGTGCTCCTTTCCTATCAAACACCTGTCGCCCTTACCCAGTTTCCTTGTTTTATTTTTATGTTATTATCGTGTAACTCCAGTATGGCCTGCCTAACTGTGTTGCTAGTGCTGCAAAACTCTTACTAACACTAAAACTACCCTGATTGATCAGGCTTGTTACAAGACAGCAGTAGCACAGACAAGATATGAAAAAATACCCCCCCCCACCCCGAATAAAAAAACCCCAAACTAAATTATCTACTAACAACCTCTCTGCTTTTCATATT